CAATCGGCAAAAGGAAGCATGAAACTCCCTTGGCAGGGTACCACTGCACACCCCACATGGCCCCCAGGGCTGGCTTTGCTTCCGGACAGCAGGGTAAGAAGTAGCTGCTAGTCTGTTTCAGCAACACCCCCAAGGAGTCCGGTGATTATGGCGTCAGCGTTTGGAGGCTGTAGCTCACTTCATCAGATGCATGAAGGGAAAGGAAAAGAAACAGAGAGGAGGCCCCTGGAGAATTCCACTGGGATTTCAAGTTTCCATCCCACCATCAAACTTAGCTTGGACTAATCCGCCCAAGAGCTCCACTTCCTGGACACTACAGTGCAAGTAAGGGATGGTCGCGAGGGATGTGAATGGGTAACCGGTTAATCAGTTACCTGGTAAGCATCACTCTTACCAGGTGATACTCACCAGGTACCAGTTAACCAGTATCTGGGAGCAGACTGCCCCCCAAGTGGAGGGCTGCTCCAGCCCCATGGGAGCTGAGACCTGGCGTCCTGCATTCAGGGAGAGTGGGGGCAGAAGCAGAATCCAGACCCCACGCACGAGGCAGCTGGGAGCCATAGCCTTGCATGCGGGGAGGCTGGGAGTGGCAGCCCCACATGTGAAGGGGTCTGGAGCAGGAGGTGGTAGCCCCATAGGTGGGGAGCTGCTCCAGCCCAGCTGGGGTATGTCTACACTATGAGCTCATTTCGGAATAAGAGCTCCCAAAATAATGATTTCGAAATAGCACGTCCATGCTCCAGGGAAGCCGCAAAATGAGTCTGAGGCAGGCTCCCCTAATGTGGACAGGCTCCCTCGATTTAGAGCCCCAGGAAGCCCTGGGGAGTAATTACATTGAATGGCCCCAGGGATGAGCTATTTCGCAATAGCAGCAGTGGAGCGTCCACACTCCCGCTATTCCAAAATAGGAGCTATTCCCCGTGCAATGAGAGTTTATTATTCCGCACTAAGAAGCCTGGTATTTCACACTAATTCTGAAATAATGGGCTTGCTGTGTGGGTGCTTCCCTTGCTATTTCGAAATAACGCTGTCGTGTAGACATGCCCCTGGATTCCACGTAATAGGCAAACTGCTTAAACCTGAGATTTAACCAACCGGGATTTTACATCCCTCATGGTCACCTAAACATCACCCGATACCTGTAAGCTACTGACCTCTGTACTAACCTATATTCCTGCAGCCTTCATCTGGAATACATCACACAATCCATGGTCTACAGCCAAGCCCTAAGATACAAGTGCATTTGCTCCAATCCCTCAGACGGAGACAAACACCTACGGGATCTCTCTCAAGCATTGTTAAAACTTCAACACCGACCTGGGGAAGTGAAGAAACAGATGGACAGAGACAGGCGGATACAGAGAAGTCACCTACTACAGGACAGATCCAACAAGGAAACTGGCCATCACCTACAGCCCCCAGCTAACAGAAACACTCACCTAGCAACCAATCCTTGCAACAAACACCGTTGCCATCTCTGCTCACACATCTACCCTGTCACCTACTACAGGACAGATCCAACAAGGAAACTGGCCATCACCTACAGCCCCCAGCTAACAGAAACACTCACCTAGCAACCAATCCTTGCAACAAACACCGTTGCCATCTCTGCTCACACATCTACCCTAGCAACACCATCATAGGACCTAACCACGGCCGCTGTACCATCAAAGGCTCATTTACCTGCACCTCTGTTCATGTCCGTTGGGCAATCTGGACTGTCTATGCAACAGAATAAATGGGCACAAATCAGACATCAAGCACAGCAACATACAAAACCCAGCAGGAAATTTCCACCCCCCTAGACACACAGGAACAGACTCGGAAGTGGTTATCCTCAAGCAAAGCAACTTCAAAAACAGGCTGCAAGGAGAAACTACCGAGCTGGAATTCACACGCAAACTTGACGCCATCAGAACGGGTCTGAATAGGGAGTGCGAATGGCTCGCTCATTACAATAAATAAATAAATAAATAAATAAATAAAAAATAATAATTCATTTTCCCCTTTGGGCATTCTCACCTTCTTCTCCACTTCCAGCCTGAATGAGTTAGAATCACAGCACATTAGAACTGGAAGGGACCTTGAGAGGTCATCAAGTCTAGTCCCCTGCCCTCATGGCAGGACCAAACACCATCAAGACCATCCCTGACAGGTGTCTGTCCAACCTGTTCTGAAATATCTCCAGGGATGGAAATTCTACAACCTCCCTAAGCAATTTATTCCAGTGTTTCTCCACCCTGACAGGAAGTTTTTCCTAATGTCCAACCTAAACCTCCTTTGCTGCAGTTTAAGTCCCTTGCTTCTTGTCCTATTCTCAGAGGCCAAGGAGAACAATTTTTCTCCCTCCTCCTTGTAACACCATTTTAGATTCCTGCAAACCGCTCTCATGTCCCCTCTCAATCTTCTCCTTTCCAGACTAAACAAGCTCTATTCTTTCAGCCTCCCCTTATAGCTCATGTTCTCTAGACCTTTCATCATTCTTGTTGCTCTTCTCTGGTCCCTCTCCAATTTCTCCACATCTTTCCTGAAATGTGATGCCCAGAACTGGACACAATACTCCAACTGAGGCCTAATCAATGCAGAGCAGAGCGGAAGAATGACTTCTCATGCCTGGCTCACCACACTCCTGTGAATGCATCCCAGAATCAAGTCTGGTTTTTTTTTTACAACGGTGTCACATTGCTGACTCATATTTCATTTGTGGTCCACTCTGACTCCTACATCTTTCACAGGACTCCTTCCTAGGTTAGTGCTGATGTAACACTCCCACCACGGTATCCCTGCTACCTGATTCTTTTTCTTTCCCGTCATCCATCTGATGGAGTGAGTTGCAACTTACAAAAGCTTGTGAAATTGTTAGTCTCGAAAGTGCCACTGTCCTTGTTTTAGCTTCCGGAGGTGACTACTCAGCCTGGATTTTGTGAGCAAGGAGAGACACCTGGTGGGAGCGCTGAGAAATAGCCCCTTTGGCATTTCAACGTTGCCTGCTTTAGCATACCCCTTGAACAGCTTAATAACAACCATTTCCACCATCGTTCCAGTCCTTGTGCTTCTTCTATGCCACAGCTTTTTACAAACCCGTGTTTGCTCACAAGAATGGAGTCACTTGCTGACAAGTGCTACAATGCAGCCTGCTCTGGGGCAGAACACGACAGCCATGTAACAGCACACAACACCCTCACCCAACCATGCAGGGCCACAGTTGAGAAAAGCAACTTAAGCATTTGCTTGAAGTTCATCAGGTCCATTTATGCTTTGCTGGATAAAGATGCTAGCTTGAATGAAGTGGTAGGAGACAAAGCGAAGAAGATTGAAACTTCAGGGGACTATTTAAGAAGGCAGAATATAATGCTCTATCTGAAATGTGGCCCAGACAAACCCTTCATCTGGTGAAAAATACCTGCTGGGATGCTCAATTAAAATAAGTGGTCAGGACTTCGGTTTACCAAACATTTGACTTAGAGGGAAAAGCGCCCTCTGCTGGATTTCCAGGGCACGTGACTGCATCCCTGCTAGAGCGGGGAGAAAGTTTTTGGATGAAACTTTCTTCAAAACTCCAAATTCAGGTTGACGACGACTTCTGGAGACTGCGTGTCACACGCACAAACAACCAAAAACTTCCAGACAAGGTCAAAGGTTTTTGTTTTGACGTCTTCAAAACAAAACATTTGGGCAGTTTGATTGGCACCAACTTTTTGTTTTAGAATGTACTTTAGCTTTTTTATATAAAAAGGCAAAATCATTTCAATATTAAACAGCACGTTTCAAGTGCTGACTCTCCTGCCCCTCTCTCCAAAAACATTTCCCCTGAACTTTTCGGTCTCCAAAAATGCAACATTTTGGGAGTGACTCAAAACTAGTAACAATGAGAGTGATGCATTAGCTCCTAGTGAACAAATACATCAAGTTTTGACCCCTCTCTGCACTGCAAGTGCAACCCACACACCTTGGGCTATGTCTACACTGGCGGGTTCTTGTGCAAGAACTCTTGCACAAGAACACATCCACATTGCCATGTGCTTTTGCACAAGAGCATCCATGGCAGTGTGCATGCTCTCTTGCGCAAGGAAGCTCTAGTGGCCATTTTAGCCTTAGGACTTTCTTGTGCAAGAAACCCCTGCCGCACGTCCACACTGCCCTCTTGCACAAGAGGGCTTACACTTGTTAGAAAAGAGCGTAGCTCTTGAGCAAGAAGCCCTGTCTTCCGACGCCGTACCACTTGAGCAAGAAGCCCTGTCTTCTGACGCCGTACCGTAAATCTTCTTGTGCAAGAGAGGGCGGGCAGCGTGGATGCTCTGCGGGTTCTTGTGCAAGAACCCACCAGTGCAGACGTAGCCCTCGTGTGGTTCACTGTCCCATGCAGTGGCACTTAGACCACAGCAACAGATAAGAACAAGAGACCTATACAGCAGGGGCTGGGTGCCAGCTGGCTTTTAGCTCAAGGAGTAGAAGTGCCTACGCTAAACTCCAGAGGTTCCAGGTTCAGACCTGCCTGGTGGTGGTGAGCAACCATCTGTATCCCCTGCACCACTGTCATCAGGGCCACAGAGGTGCCCGGAAGGCAGAAAGGGACCAGTTTGGCTTGCAGATGCCAGGGGGAGGCAAATCAGCAAAACCAGGAGATGTGCCCTCAGCCTTCCCAGCTCTGAGGTGGAGGTTTGCACCTGCATGTGGAGAGCTATTGGCGTTGCCTCAGGGTATCGAAGAGGAGCTGAGCGGAGGAAGGTCTCCCTAGCGGGGGTGAGGGGGGGCTGCTTTATTTATTCATTTGCTGGGCCTGTTCGCCCAGTCAACCCTGCTCTGGGAGAACCGGTGGTGAACGCGCTCACAGCTAAGTCAGCAGTTTCACCAGGGCCTGGTCTCTGCCAGGAGTCAGGATTTTGGGCTCGATGGACACCTGGTCTGAGCCAATATGGCCGCTCTTACACTCTTGTGTTCCAAGCTTATCATGGTGCTGAAGGAGGGTTTATTAACGAAGGCAGAAGCGTGTTTGGCTAACGAGGTTCTTTATTTGTTGCCCGGCAATGGGCACTGATTGGACCGGCCGGCCTGGCTTCCGAAGGCCCCAGCCAAACCAGTGCAGCACTGACAGAGCCAAGACCGGCTTCCCCCTTGAGGATTTGCCAACTCTGACTGGAAGGCCCTGGCTCCGGGGGTGGGGAGTGTGCCAGGCTCCAGGGCCCTGCCAGTCCTTGGCATCCCTTGCCCCACAAGGGAGTCGGCTGGTCCCTATTGTGACGCCAGTGACTGTGAGGTGGACACGGGCCCTGTGGACTGGGATTCCCCTGCCAGGGGTGACTCGATATCTGCTGACCCCTCTTTTTTCATCTCCCCGCAGACAGAGCCTGCGGAGTCCCGCCTCGCCCCCAGCTGCTTCCAAAATGCATCGCGTCCTCGCACAATCTGGAGCTGATCTGCATATGCAAACGAGGGGGAGGGACGGTGCTGGAGTAGAGGTCCAAGGGGCACCCAAGCACAGTGGCCGGAGTAGGCTCCGGTGGAGGTTCCCTGCCACCCAGCGCTGTCTGCCCGGGTTTGTTGTGGTCCCACGGGAGGCGACGAGGCTCCGGGCTACAGCCCCGGCTCTGGCTCGTACTGCTTCTCCGTCGCCGTGTAAAAGTCCTCGAGGACGGACTGCAGGTACTCGAAGGTGGGCCGCTCCTCCGGCGTGTCCCGCCAGCACTTCCGCATGACGGCGTAGAACTCGCCGGGGCAGCCGTCCGGGCAGGGCATGCGGTAGCCCCGCTCCAGGTTCTGAATCACCTCGGGGTTGGTCATGCCTGGAACGAAACGCACCCCCCGGGCCCGGCGTGTTAGCTCAGAGCCACCCATGCGCAGGGCTTAGGCTGGCGGGGGCACTGTGCAGAGGCAAAGGGGGCACAGGTTGGGGAGCCCTTGGGTGCTAGGGGAGATGGGTGGTGCCGTGCCCCCAAGGACACCAACACAAGTTTGTCCAGGGCATCATTTTCCTTAAGGCCGGCCCTGCAACCTGGCCCGGGCGGACATCCCTCGGAGCTAGAGAGCAGTCTGTGTTCTGGGGCCAGCCCCAGCCCGTAGTGCCCGGTGGGACTTCTGGAGCAGCGCTGTCAGCGGGAATGATGGGAGGTTTATATCCCCGAGGGGTCCTACCTGGATAAGGGATCCTGCCGTAAGTGATAATTTCTGTTAGAAGAATCCCAAATGACCAGACGTCCGATTTGATTGTGAAAACCCCATAGTTAATGGCCTCCGGTGCTGTCCACTTAATAGGGAATTTGGCACCTGTCAGGAAGAAAAGCATTGTTTAAAAGGGTACAACTGTGGTGCGCCTTCCTGATTCATACTTTGCACTGGCTGCTTGTGTATATCGGTCTCCAGGAGGTCTAATCTGGATGCTGGAGGCTGCCAATTGCACGCTGAGGCTGACACAGTCTGTGTTTAAAGCACAACAGAAACAAGGTGATCGAGCGAACGGTAGCACATCATAGGATGGACCAGTTCCTGCCGTCTTCCTTCATTATCCGTGCTTGTCATGTGCCTTTGTTCCCCTGGGTTCTACTTTACAAACCAGCGAACGATCTATACGCCTGAAAAGCAGGTGCACATTCAGCTAAAAAGGGCAATCAACTCACTCCTGCACGACATGTAGCACACAAGCCATGAGTACAGGATATGAATGTTACAGAATTTGCGGAATGGCCAACAGAAGAAAACAGCTAGTAATTACGCTCATCAAGTGAAGTTAAAAAGATCAAAAAACACAGACTCCCGTCCCCACGTGTAACCCAGAGGCGTAAGCTCAGCTGAGAGCCCATGGGCTTTTATGTCATGCTGTAGAAGCATGTGGCTTTAGCCCCTAAGGTCACAGGTTCAGTACCACCTCATTCTGAATAAATGTTGGCTTTCAAACTACCTGCTGTTAAGTATCACTTCCTGTGCTAATAATTTGGGGTAAGTCTACCTAACTGTCAGGGTGGCCAAACACTGGAATAAATTGTCCAGGGAGGTTGTGGAATCCCCATCTCTGGAGATATTTAAGAGCAGGTTAGATAAATGTCTATCAGGGGTGGTCTAGACAGTATTTGGTCCTGCCATGAGGGCAGGGGACTGGACTCGAGGTCCCTTCCAGGCCTACTATTCTATGATTCTATACCCTGCACAGCCATTTTGAAATAAGCTGTTCCAGAATAGTTATTCCGAAATAGCTTATTTCAAAATAGCACGTCTACACTGCAGGGGAGCCTAAACATGAGTCCGAGGCGGGCTTTCCTAATGTGGACGTGCTGTCTTGATGTAGAGCCCCAGGAGGCACTGGGAAGGAATAACTTAGAATCGCCCTGGGGAGGGGCTATTTCGAAATAGCATCAGTGGAGCGTCTACACACGGTTTACTTCGAAATAGCTATTTCGGACTTGGCGTTATTCCTCGTGGAATGAGGTTTACAGATTTCGGAATAAGCTGTCCATTATTTCGAAGTTATCTCGAAATAATGAAATGGCTGTGTAGGCACTTGCAGTGTTATTTTGAAATAACGTTAGTTATCTCGAAATAACAGTGCAGTGTGGACGCACCCTTAGAGACAGAATCCAGAGTTTTCAGGACCAAAGCCCAGGCTGCAAACACCCGTGCTAAAGGCGTACGGTCATAAACTAACAGCATTTGCCATTTTTTACTTGGCGTGTGGCCTGGCCATCAGTCAGTAGTCAATATCTTTTTAATAACCTCTCTATTGTGATGGGAATAGAATCCAATGCATTTCGAATTAAAACAAGCCTCTGACGCTTAAGGAGAAGGAGCGGTGAATCAGTAGGATTGTATCTTTTATGCAGATCAGCTACTAGAGAAGAGCATGGTATTTATGCAGTTTGCTACAGAGGGTGTGGGGAAATGCAACTATATGTACATTAAAAATATATTGGAAAATCTGTCCCACTTTTATTTACTCATGAAAACTGGAGTCTCCCTAGCATCAGTAAGGATACCATGGAGGGTTTGTTTTTCTTTAAATTAAGGACAAAGCAACCCTAATGTAAACTAAATATCGGAATGATTCTGATGAAAACAGCATTTTTTTTTATTTCAACAACTCTCTGAACTCCTGGAAAACCAAACACAATGAGCCCAATATCAAAACCCGAAATCCAGGCGAAACATTTCGGGGGAAGTGGAACGTTTTGGGCGTGTGTGTTGTGTGTGCGTCTTCCCAGAGAATTCTGAAGTGTTTGTGTTTCACGGCGAGTCAGAAAACAGCTGTCTGTTGAACTCCCAAAATCCTTTTCTCAAACAGAAATATCACCCTCCCGGAAGCTCTCTGGGAGGCCTCATGTAACTTTTAAAATATCGATTCAGTTTCTCTTTTACTTTATAAAGTCTGCTAACAAGTTGAATGAGTCTCACAAACATTTTTGGTAGCTGAAGAATACACAGAATCCGAGAACACTAAAGATGGAAGGGACCTCGAGAGGTTATCAAGTCCAGCCCCCTGCCCTCATGGCAGGACCAAGCACCGTCTAGATCATCCCTGACCAGTGTCTGTCCAACCTGCTCTGAAATATCTCCAGGGATGGAGATTCCACAACCTCCCTGGGCAATTTATTCCAGTGTTTAGCCACCCTGACAGTTAGGAAGTTTTTCCTAATGTCCAAACTAAACCTCCCTTGCTGATACTTGCTGATACCCTTTAAGATACTTGAAATAATACTATAGCAGAATAAACGGGGGGGCAGACAAAATTGGTGGACCTTTGGGCAAGGTGAGGGGGGCCCAACTCCATGCTCCCAGAAGGGGCGTGGCTTTGGGAGAAAGAGGTAGGGCTTGCGAAAAGGGGCGGGGCTGGAGGCTCCCCCCACCCCCATCAGCCATTTAGTGCTCCCCGGAATATGCCACCTGGGGCTCCGGCAACAATTTAAAGGGCTCAGGGGTTCTGGCTTCTGTAGCTAGGAGCCTGAGCCCTTCTGAATTGCCAGGCCCCGGGGCAGTTGGCCCCTTTTCTCCTCCTATTGGCAGGCCTGAGAACATAAGAACATAAGAACGGCCGTACTGGGTCAGACCAAAGGTCCATCTAGCCCAGTATCCTGTCTGCTGACAGCGGCCAACACCAGGTGCCCCAGAGAGGGTGGACTGAAGACAATGATCGAGCGATTTATCTCCTGCCATCCTTCTCCAGCTTCTGACAAACAGAGGCCAAGGACACCATTTTATCCCCTGGCTAATAGCCTTTTATGGACCTAACCTCCATGAAATTATCTAGCTTCTCTTTAAACTCTGTTATAGTCCTAGCCTTCACAGCCTCCTCTGGCAAGGAGTTCCACAGGTTGACTAGGCGCTGTGTGAAGAAGAACTTTCTTTTATTCGTTTTAAACCTGCTACCCATGAATTTCATTTGGTGTCCTCTAGTTCTTGTATTATGGGAACAAGTAAATAACTTTTCTTTAATAGAAGAAACTGTCTTTTGCCGTGTGTCAGTCAGTTGTGGGTAGACAAGTGAACGCACTGAACAATGGCGTTTCACACCCCTCTGGTGCCCACTTTCCATTAGTCCCACATCTTATCATAGCAGAGACCGAAAGTGGGAGTTTTGTAAGGGCACGGGCTCCGGCAGCTGACTCAAAATGCAGTTTCCTATGAGCGGCGCCGGCCAGAAGTTGCTCCTTGCGTATTACCTGCACACAGAAGCACCACGCTAGCTGGAAATGTCGCCAAACTTTGCGGGGCGGGAGCACGGGTGGTGGGTGAAGACAGGGCCCTGAACCCCATCCTGACCCCGCCTCTTCTGCCCATGCCCCGCCCCTTCTGCCCAGGCCCCGCCCCCTGCATCACGAGGAGGTGGGGTGGTGTGCAGCTCCACCCTCCCCAGCCTAGGAGCACAGGGAGAAAGGCGTGCGCACGGCCCCAACCTCTCCACAATAGCACGTGCGCACGGCCCCAACCTCTCCACAACAGCAGTTCTGGGGGGCGGAGCGTGGGCGGGGCCAGGCTTGTGGTTCAGGAAGGCAACGCCTCCCCCTGCCTAGCGTACGCGCCTCTCTTCGGTGGAGGGGAGTTAAAAATCCAAATGTTGTCAATTGTCCTTGTCTTTTACACCTGGCCACACCAAAACCTGGGGTCAGAGAGGAGGCTGCGAGTTCGAAATCTGGAGCCGCCCCCAATTTTGCAGTTCCAGCTCATTTCTTACTGTTTCGCGGTGCACTGCGTCGGAGCTGTGGGCAGATATAGGCCACCTGCACATTTCCCTGCAAAGCCCTTAATTCGAGCAGGTCAGCATTGCCCCGGCCTCAGTGAGGCTGAGTTTATTCAGTAGCGGGGCCAGAGATCTTAACATGAATCCGTAGGACACCCCTCCAGCTATGGGACTCTACTCCAACCTTAAAACTCGCTCTGTTGGGCCGTGGAATTACAGGCAGGAGAAACGCAAGCGGGGAAATAGAACTTGACTTTTCCAGCTAGGCTCCTCCCTACGGCACCAGGAGCAGAACCTACCTTCTTGAGCCAAGTACTCATTCTCGATGATCCTGGCCAGGCCGAAATCAGCAATTTTACAGCACAGCATCTCTGAGACGAGGATGTTGGCTGCTCTCAGGTCTCGGTGGATGGAGTTCATTCTCTCGATGTACGCCATCCCTTCCGCAACCTAGGAGAGCAGAAAGCGCCACAGAGGTTACTGCAGGAGCATTCAAATCGCCCTCCTGGTCCCTAGACACGAAAGATGGAAATGATTTTGAACCCTCCCTGACATAAGACGGTGCTGCTATTCCATGTACTATGGGAGTGTAATCCATACATCTCCCGAGTGTGGGGCACTGTCCCATCTATTGGCATTGAGACTGCTAGCAGAGAGACTAATGAATCTGCTCTGCAGTCTTAGCTAACAGCTTTTGGCTCATGCGGTAGCGGCTCATGCACGAAGGTCCCAGGTTCAATTCCGCCTTTCGGCATCACGTAGCCCCAATCTAGATTCGGGTCGGATGGTGCTTGGTGCTGTACATTGTAAGAGACACAATCCCTGTCTCAACGCGTCAAGACAAAATGTAGCAGAAAAGGAGGGCTGTTCTTGCCATTTTACTGACGGAGAAATGAGGCACATAAGAACATAAGAATGGCCTAACTGGCTGAGACCAAAGGTCCATCTAGCCCACTATCCTGTCTGCCAACAGTGGCCAGCACCAGGTGCCCCAGAGAGGGTGGACCGAAGACAATGATCAAGCGATTTGTCTCCTGCCATCCCTCTCCAGCCTCTGACAAACAGAGGCCAAGGACACCATTTTATCCCCTGGCTAATAGCCTTTTATGGACCTAACCTCCATGAAATTATCTAGCTTCTCTTTAAACTCTATTATAGTCCTAGCCTTCACAGCCTCCTCTGGCAAGGAGTTCCACAGGTTGACTACACGCTGTGTGAAGAAGAACTTTCTTTTATTAGTTTTAAACCTGCTCCCCATTAATTTCATTTGGTGTCCTCTAGTTCGTCTATTTAGGGAACTAATTAATAACTTTTCTTTATCCGCCCTCTCACACCACACATGATTTTGTAGACCTCTATCATATCCCCCCTCAGTCTCCTCTTTTCTAAACTGAAAAGTCCCAGTCGCTTTAACCTCTCCTCATATGGGACCCGTTCCAAACCCCTAATCATTTTAGTTGCCCTTTTCTGAACCCTTTCCAAGGCCAAAATATCTTTTTTGAGGTGAGGAGACCACATCTGTACACAGTATTCAAGATGTGGGCATACCATAGTTTTATACATGGGCAGTAAGATATTCTGTGTCTTATTTTCTATCCCTTCCCTAATAATTCCTAGCATCCTATTTGCCTTTTTGACTGCCACTCATGTGTTTCTCTCTTGTTGCTCTCTCGTATTGGCCAATACGTTCTGTCTGTCTGTTT